ACCCTAAACCCTAAACTCCCCACCTTATAGAAGCCCTATAGATGGAGTTTCCTTTGACTCCAGGGCTTCACGTCCCTCAAAGAGTCGATGAACTCCATGTTCATCGCGGGAGTTTGGGCCTCGATCAGGGCTGGCCGGTAAAATTTCGCATGTCGCGGTTCATGTTAAGGGTGTAGGGTTCAGGATACTTAGGGTGTAGGGTTCCCTAAATGGGTAGTTCTCTAAATNNGGTCCCTTTTACGGTCCTTTTTATAAGGGGCTTCAGTAGGTTCTTAGGATTTGGGCTCCAAGCTCCCGGCTTAAGGGTTTAAGCCCTAGCCTCTTGGGTCCCACGTCGCGTAAAGGGTTCAGGGTTTGGGCGAAGGGTCCGTAGCTCGGTTTTCGAAGCTCCTGGAGTCCTCCAAACTATGAGTGTAGTATAGGGGCCTAAATGATTACCCATACTATTTTGGGGGTTCCTTATTATCGTTGTAGTAGAACATACCCCCAAACCCTATTCTAATTGTTAAGGGCCCTATATTACAAGTGAATTCTGAAGAATGTAGTGAAGACGAAAACAGAGGCAGACGTCGTGGACTACAGGAATAGAAGGAGCGAGTATAAGACCGTAGAGCCCGAAGATTCCTGAGATCACCGGAGAGCAACACAGCAGTTCAAGACAGATATGTACATAGAGATACAGAAGCCTGGAATGCAAAGAATCCAGCTCCACCACCGGCCCTCGTAAAGACAGCTAGCTTCGGATGAATGAATCCCCAGAGTGCACATCAGAAGCGCGGCAGAGCCCAGGTGTCAGACGAGTTTGTCAGCGTTTTTCTCAAGCCACGATCTCAGCACAAAATCCGGGCAGAAGGAGGCGGTTCCAAGCGAGTGCCAGCCTTTTGTTTGGGAGGGACCTGACCCCCTCCATAGGTAGAGCTGTTTCCCCTAAACTCCACCCCGATATGCCAAACCCGAAACCCCAAAGCCCTAGCCCGTGAACTCCGCTTCAATTCCAAAGCCCGGTACCTGCGGCGAGTTTGTCTGATCCTTATGCTAGACGTTTCCAGCATACTCAGGTCCTATACCGCCTATCGGTACGTGGGGGTGCGTGGCCCAGGGTGCCAGAGTGTCGCAAGAATGTTTTGACTGTTTGACATTCTTTAGGAGGACGGGGCGTTGCCGTGCGAATGCAGAGATGAGCCCCCCAAGCCGAAGTGGGCCCTGTCTCTGTCCTTTCTGTGTGTCCAGAGTCTGTCTGTCTGTGTACTTATATACATATGGTAGTTGGTCTAAATCTCCTTGAGCCAGTATTTGTATGAACGGCCAACTGCATGGCTAAATATGCCTTCGCGAAAGTTCCGCGATGGTGCCGCTAAAGTTAGTTTTTTCGCGAAAAATTATCTGTTTAGCCTACTTGCTCTACTATTACAACTAGTATTCTTATAACTATTGCTATTTGTGCTACTAGTACTAGTACTATGACTTTTATTTTCCTATTACTATTACTATTACTACTACTGTTGCTTTTGATATTACTATTGTGAATCTTGTTATTACTGTTACGATTATTACCAGTATTGCTAGCATTACTATTGTCACTGTTATTTCTATTACCTTCATGATTACTATGAATACCATTGTCCTTCTTGTCATTATTCTTAGTATTATTGGTACAACTGTTGTTGCTAACATTGCTATTTTTGCTGTTGTTCTCAGTATTACTGGTATCACTAGTTTTGTGATTACTGATATCACCACTTCTCATGCTCTTGCTACTGCAGCTACTACTACTGCTGCTACTGCTACTGCCGCTACTGCTACTGTTACTACCGTCGCCACTTACTACCACTACCTGCGATACCTACTGCTCGCAACCTTGTCAACGACAAACCCAAACTTTCGGTTCCAGTACAGGGTTTAGCGCGTAAGTTCCGCGTAAGTGACCTTAAAGTCGACGTAGCTAGATGGGAGTTTCCAAAAATACGGGGTACCTTATTTTGGGGTCCTTATAATAAGGATCCTACTATTTGGGGTACTATATTAGGGTCCCCTATTTTCGGAATCCCCCAGATCAACGCCACCCCCCCCAATGGATAGTGTTGGTGAATTTCGTAAGTGGCCGGCGAAAGGGGCACCTCCTAGGAAGCCCTTACGACACCTGAAACCCCCAGGGAAGCCTGCCAGAAGCTCTTAATTATAATGCCCGTAGCAACTTGTCATCGAGAAGCTTGTATCTTAGAACTCGGGGTTCTAACTTGCAAAGGTATGTAAATATGCCTTCGCGAAAGTTCCGTGAAGAAGGTCATTCCGGGATGAAGCAATTTAGATCAACAATCATAGAATACCATATATCCTGAACCCTTAATTACCCTTCCTTCCCCTGAGATCCTCTGGCTGATGTTCCTGGTGATTGCCCACGTCCTGCTCCTCAGCTTAGCGGGAGCCCGAGTTCCGCGAGATCTCTTGGCTTCTAAGGGCTGGTAGTATACGGCCTTCAATAGTTGAAACAGGGTTCTTTAAAGGGCTTTATATAGGATTTCATCCGGATTAAGATAGTCTAGGAATAGGTTCCTGTCTTCTAGAACTTTATCGGGACTGCAAGGACTCTTTAGGGTCTGAAGCCCTGCCCCTTGCGGGGTGAGCGCAGGAGAATGCAAAGACTGCTCTAGAAGAGTACTAAGGCCTGTGCCAACCATAAGACGAGCGTAAGACGAGCAACGCTTTTTAAGGAAGAAAATGGTAGCAACAGTGATAGTAAGAGTAGTTGTTGAACACTAGCCCTAGCAGCAGCGGTAGCAGCAGGTGAGTTTATACGAGAATACTACGAAAGTCAACAGCAATGAACGCAAGATGGTGGCGGTGGTAGTGGTGGTGGTGGTGGTGGTGCTAGTAGTAACAGCAGCAGCAGCAGCAGAAGGGCCGGTAGTAATGTCAATAATGATAGCAGGAACGGTGCAACTCGCATGAATGGATGTAGTAGCAGTCATTGTCATACCGGTCATCGTATTGCTGGTAATCCGAGCCGTAATACTGATGACTGCCGGCATTGCGGCAGACATCATCAGTCAGCTGCACATTGCGGCATGACGCGACACAAAAATGCCCGTTTCGCATGTGCTGCGCAAGCGGCCCCCTGACGAAAGCTTTAGGGTTTAAGTAGGCGCCCTAGACCTTAAGCCCTAAACCCTAAACCCTAAACCCTAAGCCCCAACTCCCTTAACCCTACAGCGCTCCGGACCTGTACCCCTTCGCCAACTCTGCAATCTTCGCAGAATCCTTCAGGTCCTGGACACGCTCTGCCAAAGCCTCAAAATTCCGATGTCTGAATTTGCAACCGTTTAGGGGTTGAGGCCAGACAGGGTACCTTGTTTTTGCTGTGTTCTTTCAGGCATGTTGGTTCTACAGCGGTCAGGGAAGGAGTGCAAAGTGTTCAGGCTTGTGGATTCGATGGGGGTTTAGGATTCAGATAAACTCTAAACCCTAAACCCTAAACCCTAAAGATTCCAGTGTTCAGGTTTCGGGATATTCAGTGCTTGCCACTAAAAACGCTTAGCTGTTCTTTTTAGGGTTTAGGGTTGAGGGCTCAGGGTTTTTGTTGGGTTTTCGGGTTTGCCACGATTACTGCCTTAGCGGTGATGTTGGTGTGAGCACAGCTGCCCGCACCTGATGTGTCGTGCAGCATCTTTCTAGCAGGCCAGGCAGCCACAACTGCTATACAGTTCTACTCGACCTTAGTGAGGCATGGGAAGATAGACTTCATCAATAGTGCCCTTCAGCCAGGCTACTGTAGGTCCAGGTGCTACGAGGTTTTGCTACCGGCTTGTCTACCACTCGCCCAGAGTTGGTCAAAGAAGGCTCTTCCGTATAACGTGGTTTCATACTAATACTAGTTTGGAGGTTCCTTATTATAAGTATAGTATAATATACCCCGAAACCCTATTCTAATTATTAAGGCCCGTAAATTGAACGGGAAGTCCAGCCCGGCCTTTGAAAGCGGCTTATCACCCTAAACCCGTTCACGTGAGGTGCAGCCTACATGTCCTACTCCGAGCAGCGCACGGAGGCGTGAGCGAGAGAGATCAGACGTAGCACTCTGTTGTTGTCCCGGAGCGATGGCTTTTTTCGATGCATGTGTCCCGAAGGTGAACTAAGGCCTTAAAGACTCAATGTCAAGACCGTGTGAGCTTACTTGGTGTTGCTGTGTGATGGTTGCTTTTGTTGCACCCATTGCCATCATGACTGTCTCCATTTGTGTCTTCTTTGTTTGGCGTGGCTTCCTTTTTCAGACTCCCATGCAGTTATGTTTGTCATTACCTTCGTAGCTATAGCAACGATTAACTGGTGCGCGGTAACCGGTAAGACTTTAGGCCCTAAGGCTCCATGTACCCATATAGTAGATACTTAAGCCTTAAAGTACCTATATAGAGACCCCTTTAAGGCCTAAGTATCTACTATAAAGGTACATGGAGCCTTTGGGAGGAATGTGTTGGAGGGCAAGTCGGTTCACCGCACACCTTCCCGCACCAATGCCCAGCCGACGCAGGAATGTTGAGAAGGCCGGCTAGACTTTGACAGATCCTACGGAACCATGAAAATCACCAATATCACCGTCATCATCAGGGCCAGCATTAACACTATGAGCATCATCATCATCATCATCACCATCATCATCAGCACGAATGCTGTATCTATCGTCGATGTTGTTGCTGTGCTTGTTCTGACGCTGCTTATCGATTCCACGGCTTTGCTTGCTATTAAAAGCAGGAATCCTAAAGTTGAAAACTTGCATATGCGTCCGTTGCTCAGGAAGTAGCAGACAAGCGCATCGAGGGCATGTGGAAGGACGGCGCCTTGTGCGTGCTGGTATCCTGAAGACGAGTGCCGCATCTGGCATAGTAGGATGTTGATTTGAGAGGTGCGTTTCATTGGGCAATTCTTGAGCTCACGAGTCCCGAATATTTGCGAACAGCAGATGGCAGTGGGAGTCCGTCTCGAAGAGGCCCTAAACTATGTACCCTGCCTGTACTTTAAGAGGGCCGGGTGGTCAAAGCCGCGCTGATGCTTTGGGGACCTGTCTTGGAACTCTGCCACCCGTGCACCAAGTTTTGGTTTCCAGTGCGATCTTCCTCTTGAACTTCATCGCTGGAGTCGCTGGGTTCAGGATTTAGGCTTCAGGTTTGGGGTAAGGGTCCAGGGTTTAGGATTTAGGATTCAGGTTCGGGGTTCTCTTTCAAAGCCTTCCTGCACTCCACCAGGCCTTCACTACACTGGTCGAGGCCACGGGCAACAAGGAGCAGGAGGCCGTACCCTAAACCCTAAACCTAAACCCTGAACCCTAAGCTGTCCTCAGATTCCGACTACAGTCTTGGGGCTTCTGCGTGTGCAGCCTGAAGCCCCCCTGAACACATGCATGCATGCTGTGTGTATGTGCATATACATACATATATACATATATCTGTGTGTGTGTGTGTATACACATACACACACGCCCAGAGACATGTGCATGTATATGTGTGTGTACGACGGGTGCGTGTACCCAAAGATGTACGTACGTACGTACGTACGTACGTACGTATGTTTGTATGTATGTATGCAGGCAAGCATGTGCATACGAAACAGGCACAGATTTGTTCTGCAAATGTCCCTATGAATACACGTATGGATGCCCGCGTGCGGTTCATGGGCTGGGAGGTTCTAACCCCGACAGCGATAATCCAAGCAGTGAGCCAACGCATCAACGCATGGTACCAGGCAAGGGTGTCTGACAGAGTTGAATGTAAGAGTACCTTAACCTACCAGAACCTACTCTTCTTGTAGGGTCCCTATAAATCCCATATTAGGGTTTATAGCAAGCACCGACAAAAAAGTGGGTTTTGGTAGGTTAAGGTAGGCAGTACCCTCCACGACAGAGAACAGGTCTCGCAGGAGTACTTCTTCCTGTTTCTGGAGGCTGCGACTTGCATCACTGGTTTATTTCGTTTGTTTTGTCGTACCTTACGGTGCTGTGTTGCCGTACTTGGTCATGACCCCCAACCCCCCCGATCTGAGCAGCAACGCCTTGCCGACGAAAGGAGATCAGCAAGTCTCCGCGATCTGTGGGCATTTCTCCAAAGGAGGCTCGCGCTCCAAAGACCGCAGACGGTCAACTGAGGGGTTTCGTCGGTTTAGGGTTTAGGGTTTGGGGTGCTCAGAAACGTAATTCATCTAGATTGGAGTTAACGGTTTAGGGTTTAAGGGTTTGCGGGTTTAGGGTGCAAGGCTGCATGGGTTTGAGGGCTCAGGTTTGTAGGGTGCAGGGATGTCGGGTTTTGGCTGAAGAAGACTTTCGGCATGTGCAGTCGCCGCCAGGCCCAGATCATGTGGGATGCCATCGATCGCGTGCGCCCGGCAGAGTGTGCACAGAATGTAAAGTATATAACACATTCCTTGCCACATTTAGTCTCAGCAAGGCAGTGACACTCGTAACAGTATTACAACTCGTTTGGTGTTTTTCAAGGAAGAGCGTGCCAGAGATGAAGGCTCCACTTGTACATTTGGAGACTGAGCCCCAAATCAACAACACTCCACACTGCAAGCAACCTGAACACACAACCCCAACCCGTGCCCTGAACCCTAAACCCTAAACCCTAAACCCTAAACCCTAAACCCTAAACCCTGAACCCTGAAGCCTTGTAGGTTCTTTACATTACGCCAGCAACTTCAAATCCTCAACCTGAATCGATAACCTCAAACCGAGAGCTTAACCGCAGGAGACGACGACACTTTAATCACCTACGTAAAGGATCATGGGACTTAGTAAGTAAGGTTATAAGTCCCTTAAATGGGGCTATAAGTATAGCTACCTTAGTTATAACCCTACTTACTAAGTCCCATGATCCTTTAAGTAACCCTAAACCCTAAACCCTAAACCCTAAATTAAATTCCTTAACACGAACCCCAATTAAGGGACTCATAACCTTGAACTAGAGACCTGGAAGCCTTACTTAGGGTTTAGCCTTCAGCAAGAGGGCGCGTAGCAGGAAGGAGACCCCCGAGCCGCAAGGCCCAAACCTCAAATCCTAAGCCCCTAACCCTGAACCCTAAATCCCAAACCGCGGTTTAGGGTTTCGGGTTTCGGGTTTCGGGTTTAGGGTTTAGGGTTTAGGGTTTAGGGTTTAGGGTTTAGTGGCCCAAACCCCAAACATAAACCCTAAACCCAAAATCCCAAACCATGAATCCCAAACCCCAAACATAAAGCGTATCATAAACCCTAAACCCAAAACCCCAAGCCATGAATCCCAAGCCCCAACCCCAAACCTCAACTCTGAACCCTACGTAAAGGATCATGGGACTTAGTAAGTAAGGTTATAAGTCCCTTAAATGGGGTTATAAGTATAGCTACCTTAGTTATAACCCTACTTACTAAGTCCCATGATCCTTTAAGTACGGAGGACAGATCGGGGAGCATCGAGCGGGAGGAGCCCAGGGCTTAAGCTTCGAAGGTTTCGGAGACCAGGATTCACGGAACTGGGGTTTAGGGTTCATGGATTGAGTTTTTTTGGGGTTTAGAGTTTATAGATGGAGCTTTTTTTGGGTTTAGAGTTTATAGATTGAAGTTTTGTTTTTTAGTGTGCTAGTCAGGATATATATATTTTTTTTTTTTGTGGGAGTGTGCTTCGGGGCTTCAGGCTTAAGGCCTTTGGCTTGGGTTGCAGCGTGAGTCTGGAGTTTACTCCCTCCAGTGCCTCGATCCGGGATCAGTGATAATCCGTGTAGACGACGATGAGAACGAGCTAGGCTTGCTCTCAAGCAGTTTGATTCACAGTGTAGGGCTTGAGGAAGTGCCAGAACAACTTCTCAAAATAATCGTTCTAGCATTATCGACTATGCTTGCGTGCTTCTTGTTTCTACTATCAGGTTTAGTCTTCTTGAATTAATGGTAGTTCCCTAAACCCTAAACCCTAAACCCTGTTAAACCCTAAACCCTAAACCCTAAACCCTAAACCCTAAACCCTAAACCCTGTTGCTGCACATCTATAAGGCGTTAGTTGCTGTGTTTGCCTCGCTGGTGCTGCCTTCAGCTCCGAAGTCGTTCAACCCCTGGTTTGGGGTTTAGGGTTTGGGGTTTAGGAGTTAGGGGAGTTTGGGGTTTAGGGTTTGGGGTTTAGGAGTTTGGGGAGTTTGGGGTTTAGGGTTTGGGGTT